TGCCTTATACACTCTTCTCCAGGATAATGACTGTTCTGTGGTTGTGCTTTTTGTTTTTTGTTTTTTGTTTTTATTTTTTTTTGCGAAAATCGATCTCCTTGTTTTTGTTTTTTATTTTTTATTTTTGAAGACTAAAAAGTTAAAATCTAAATTCTATGTATATTGTGTGAAACAAAAAAAATGGAAGACGTAGAAAGGCGACTCATTTGAAATTCATGCGGCCACTCACTGGGTGCATAAAGCAATCAAATCAACCACAAAACACCAACTTTCACACACACATATGTATGTATGTAGATACATATATACTTTGGGATTTAGCCTGGTCTTCTTTGGGGATTTTTCCTCTGGATTTTTCGCCTTTCGCCTTCGGTTTTTATACACGTTTCACTCGTGTAAATAATAAATAAGCTAAGCAGACTTTTGTGGCGTGCAAAACGTTTCACTCACCCCCCCCCCGTCGCACCAACTTGCACCTTTTTTTTTGCACCCCATCCCTGAAAGGATGGAACCTGGAGACCAAGAGAGGGCTATCGATTCCAAATCTCAACCGAAAGTCAAGGAACGAGATGCCTAAACAAAAAAAAAAAGCGAAAGTTTGCCACTTGCTTACATTGTATACTGGAGAACCCTTTTGCCAGTCCTCCTTGGGCCTCCACATCCATGATTTATGCATGACCCCAATGGTGGCTACAAAAGCTGTTCCAGATTTGCATGCGAATTGTCCATCTTGGATTCATTGGCTTTGGGGCAGATTTGGAACTGGGTTTACCAGTAAATACATTGTCGTTGTCGTTCCAATTGTTCTAGAGGACTTTGTCGGCATTTGACTGCCTCTTGAAAATTTTGACTATTTTTCCTAAATTTAAATGTAATTTCTTTTGTCTCTGGAATACGAAAGAAAGCTAGATTTTAAAAGGAGAATATAAGTGAATAGGTGACGAAAATTAACTGCTTTCAGTAGAATAAATTGTAGGAAATACGAAACTTTTATCTAGTTTTTTGGGTCTAGCTTTGTTCTTATTTCCAAATAAGAATCTCTTTCGTCACTGTAATATTAGCTACCTAAAATGCCTTTGTCTCTAAAACTTGAACCTTGTTTCAATGCATTTCAATAAGCCTTTCATCTTGTTTGTTGGGTCTTGCTTTATAATTGTATCATATTTCCATCATAGATCTTGATCTCTTTCGTCACTGTAGCATAAGCATTTTAAAGTGCCTTCGTCACTGAAACTTGTACCTATTTAAATTCAAAACAAAGACCCTGTCTTTGGCAAATCCATTTCCATTTTCCTTTTCGAACTCAATTAGAGATTTTCAATGGCCTCTGCAACCATCGTGGGATAAATTAAGTCCACAATGCATTTCGACTAACTCTTTCACACCCATCTCCCCTGTCTTTTTCTACCCTCCATCGTTCTGTCTCTGTCTGGCTTTCAGTCCAATGCACTCGATACCTTTGTCTGTGTCAAATCAATTAGCAAGTGCAATTAATGAAGCGAAATGCACGAAAATAAAACCTCCTCTTTCTCCCAAAAAAAAAATGGAGAAAAAATGTAGGAAAATTTTTGGGAGAAAGCCAGAAAAATCAGTGCAGCGTAAAGAGAAAAGAAGCCGAGCGGAGAAAGTCGGGGGAGGGGGTGGAAATTGCACAGAGTAATTTGTCTTTTTCATTAATTATTTAGAGACAGCAAGGCAAAATAATGATGATGGGGAGAAGAGCAGAAATGCAGATGCGGCTGGATGGATTCTTTTTCAAGGAGCTTTCCTTCAACTATTGGCGGTTAATTAATTGAATTCTGTAGCTCAGTAACGTGGCTGCAAGTGGCACGTTGGTCTGCAATTGCAGTGCAAACTTTTTCCTTTTCCATTAAATTGGTTGAGAAGGAATCCAGTTACCTAACAAGTTTTTGGCGCATAAAGTCATTAAAGTTTTCCGAATTGATTTGAAATCGTATCCCTCCTATCCCTCATTTTCCAAAAAAGGGAAACTTTTAAGGCCATTAGATGAACAGAGAGAAGACTTTCAAATTAATTTATGGTTGCTTTGATTAGTTTTTGGCTAAAATCAGCAAGAAAACCAAACAATAATGCGGGCATTTCCCCCATTTTCGGTAATTTGCAGGGAAAGGTAATCTCAGCTGGCAAAAGTGTGACCAGCCACCCTCATTTGAATTTTTTGCAGGCCTGGCATTATTAAATCCCCTAAAGCCTCCAAGTTTATGTAGGGTCTTTATGTTTCAAAAATTATCGGCGATCTAGTAGGCCCTGCTATCGATTCCAACTCTAAATTTTGTAACCCTACGACTGAGGGCCCACAAAATAATCATTCGGGTGCTGGCCTTCGTCTGGCTAACACCTCCTTCTTTCTTTTCTTTTATTTATTTTATTTTTCTTTGTTTTTCTGATTTTCTTATTATTTTTTTTTTGGATTATTTAAAAGCCCTGCACCATCGTGGTTGTAAATAAGACGAACGGCACCTGGTTGCTTGTTTTTATTTTAAATAATTTTTAATATTTTTAAATATTTTAAGAGCCCTAAGGGTTTCTCTTGATGCTCTGTGCTCCACCGTTTCGAATTCCGGATTTTCTTTTTTTTTTTTTATTATTATTTAAAAACCATGGGCTGTAATTTTTTTTTCGCTTAAACGTTTGAATGCTTATTTTAATTTAAAATAATTTTATTTTTATTTAAAGAGCCTTTGGCCAAATTCCTCATCTTATTTTATTATTTTGATTATTATTTAAAAACCATGGACTCTTTTGTACCATAAAGTTCGTATTCACTTTTGGTCTCATTTACTGTTTTTTTTTTTTTTTTTTTAAAAATGATATTGTAATATTTTATTTTACTGCCTCATAGTTGGAGTCATCGGAGACGTGGGAAAACTGTCGAAGCCCTGGCCACGCGCTTGGTTCAGGCTGTCCTTCTTTTATTTCATTAATTTAGAAACGCACAACCCCCTCTGATTGGTCACGTGCACTCCCTGCCTCAGAGCCTCAGACCTTTCAGGCTTTTATTCATTTTGATTGCTTTGTATCGATTACAAAATGCATTACAACAATTTCCAGATGATAAATAACCCAAGCTAAATGGGTGAAGAGGTTTACTGAGGGTGCGGTGGTTGCTCCTGATAGTTTGTTATTTTTTGCTCTTTTATATATTAGACATTTTTTGTTCTATTTTAACTAAAGGACTCTTATAAAAAATTATTTATTTTAAAAGTGGAAAACTTTGTACTTTATTTCCAATTTGTGGCGACCGTGACATAGTGGTCAGCAGGTGTGACCATGCTCTATTAATCAGCAATGCCCTAGTTAGCGACAAGTGACCATTCCATGATTGCTTCGAAGTGACCATGTGCCATTAATAACAAATTGAAGGCACCTTACTTGGGAGCCATTGCAATAGTACATTAACCCACACGTGTCTCCGCTTTTCTCGAACGAAATAAAATGCAATTGCGTGATTATTGAACGATTTGTATCAATTTACGCAACAAGAGATTGGTCTTCAAGTTACCCATACGTGTATACACATATATACATATTTATTTATTTGAACTCTTCCCTTCTTGAGGGTGGATGGTGGTATGGTGTGAGAATGATTATTGATATCTTTGTTCGTATGAGGGCTGGATACGAATACTCTCCCCCACCCCTCACTCAACAAACTTGTGGCAAAAGCCGAAAACCAAAGCCCCGAGGGGGAACGATTGCAGTGCCATAGCATTTATCGCAACGTGCAAAAACTTTTCCCTAACAAGTGTGTATATGTCTGTCGGTTGGAAACTCAACTCCCAGCGAGGGCGTTCATACACTTGTGTTCTTGTGGGCTTCTCAAGTTTATTAAAGTGGCATAAAAGTGTCATTGGCGTCTAATGGGCGGCGATTAGTTGGAATGAGAACGAGGCTCACAATCCCCCAAGTCTCCAGTGCCCCAGAACGATCCAAACAAAGTTCTCAGAGTCACTCTACTAAAATATCACTCTAACCAAAACAAAAAATAGTAATTGAATGTTTGCTTAAAGTAATTGCAAACTTGTCTGGTTTTATTTTTTTTTTTTTAAAGATTAAAGTCTACTCTGTATTCCACATATGGTTATCGATATAACAACTTATCGATATTAAACTTGGCTTCTTTAATGGCCGAAAGCAAACTTCATCCTGGGCGCCTTTGGGAGAAAACTTATTGAAAACTCATAAAAAGCATAAAATACAAAAATGGCTCAAGACTTGTGGAAGCTTCTGGAAGCTATGAAGCTGAAAGGACATAAACTGGTTGGGGGAAAAAAAAGCCAACGAAATTGTTTTTCTTACCCAACATCCTTTTTTCTTTATTTTATTTTTTTTTTTGTAAATCATTTAACACGCTCTCGATTTTTATTTTAATGACATGTGTGTTGGGGGATAAAAAGTTCCTTAATGTCCTTTAGGTTGAAGCACTTTGGCCAAAGACATAATGGAGCGCCACACAAGGATATCCATATCCATACATATCCTTCTTCTGTGCAAATTTGCTTGGAGGCGTTAAAGTACCAGCTCCCAGACTAACTACCAACTGCATCCGGTATGAGAAGAAGGACTATACTATATGCCTTGTCTTGGCTCCTGTGTTAATGATCATCATGAATATTCTGGCATTTGTTTGTTTGTTTGCCTTTGCCAAGTTGGCTCAGTCAAAATGTTAATATGCCCAGGCTAGGAGACCAAAACTAAACCCTGCGGCATGGTTATCCTGCGAAAGGGACTCTCGAGCTAAATATTTGATTAACTTACCAGTGACTCCACCACCTACCATCATCCTTTACCTTGTGTGGATATGTCCTGGGTGTGGAGCCAACTTAATTAAAGTTAAACAAGCAGCTAATCAAATTTTTATTACACAGTCTTTTTTTTCCCCTCACTTGCCTAAATGCGGTGTAATTTCATTTTAAAAATGCATACATAGTTTGCTTTGGTGCCACTACTCCCTTTTTTTTTCAATGAAAAAGCTTTAGTTTTTTGAATTCAATATAAAACTTTAATGTTTTATTTCATGATCTCATTTCTCTTAGGAAACTAAGAGAATATTGAGGAGTTGGCGGCGGCCAGTATCTGATCGCTGGAGGTGGCACCGTGCAGCCACCAGGCAGTCCACTTGGTGGCCGTACGCTGATCGTACTCCTCCATGTCGCAGAGCTCCTCCTCGCAGGCCCACGAGCTGAGGGTGGTGGACGTTGGAATCCTGTGGGGCAGCGCGATCAGGCTGGGGCTCATGCTTGGCAGCGATGCCATCGATCCATTATTGCCCGGCATTTGGTCGTTGGCCAGTTGGTATTGGGAACGAGTGAATTCCTGCATTTGGATCTCAGTTTTGTAGTAATGCTCCTTGGTCGGCTTGGTGTCCTTGCATGGCTTTTGCTTGGAATTCTTTTTCTTGGATTCCGGCTTGGGAGAAGAGCAGCCACAGCAGCCGAAAGAAAGCCGAAGACACATAACCAATGAGGTTGGCCGGAAAAAGGCTGAAAAAAAAGTCACAATGGTTTTTTAGAAAAGCGTTAGTGTTTTTTTTTAGGGCTTTTGGTGTTTTTGGATATTTTTATTTGGTATTATTCCAAAGAAAAACATCTACAGCCACACTAACGACATTAAACTTCAAAGATTTTATTAATAAACTATTAAATATTAGCTTATTTTTGTACTTTCTTTAAGAAATGTCTTTTCCTTCCTTCAAAAAAAAAATAAATAGAGTAACACTTGAAGCAACAAAACTCTTCTCACTTGGAATATTCTCCAATATTTATTTAGAATTTAACCACAACTTCTGGCTGGGAGCCTCCAACTGAGGTTCTACACCCCAGAGTCGTTTGCTTTTATAGCTGCCACCCCATTAACACCCCACACTACTGCCTTTGTAAACATTATTAGTTCACTCCACATACATATATGTATGTATGTAGTATATATGTTGGTACAGTTGTGTTACCTGGAACTGGCATTGAATTCTCCTCTGGGGTCCCTGGGTACTGCAGCTTATTATGCAAAATGTTGTCACTTATGGTAATTTGTCAAAAATGCACTCGATTCTATATATATATATTTTAAATCATATATGTATAGATGCATATATTATCGATATTGAAGCTACTGGTGATTTTGTGCAATTAAGTGCAATTCAACTACCTATTGTATTACCAATTTGTGAATGCAAATCACCGCCAGACTCGCATTTTATGACAAAGTTTTCCATATTGTCCTCCTCATCGCGGTGGATGCTAGAATTTCGATTAGAGGATAATGTTTCAATTGTGGGTGGCTGGTGTACATCGGCATGGATGCAAAATTCCTCGCGACCAGCCGGCGAATGGGATGGTGTCCTGGTCGTGCGGGGAACTGTACGGGCTCGATGAAATGGCTCCGTCTGGACAATGGTTGGTTTTGGAACTAAAACTGGCACCGTCTGTCGCTCCATGAAAGTACTACGATCATCACCGTCACATTCTCGCCGACAGAGCACAAACATCAGGCAATTCTCCAGGCTGTTCATGTCGTGGTGTTTCAATTCCAAATCCATTCCCTGAAATTCTGGTTAGCTTTTTATAAGCCCATTAGTGTTTTCAGTGCCAGATGGTTAACTCTAAGCCTGTTTCTTTCTTATCATAATTTTTTTTTTTTTTTTTTGATTTCTTAGAAGCTACAATGGTACTGCCAATGACCAAGTCAACTCATACTTTTCCTTTAATTTTCTTTAAACTTTCAATTTCAATTAGCATTTTGGCAAAAGTTTCGGGCCCTAATGAGTTTTGTAATTATCCAAAAAGTTGGAAAATTAAAATGAATACAAAAGCGAAAAAGAAAAATCCAAGAGGCAGAGGGTTCTATTCTATTCAGCATTTATACAATTTTGAAAATGATTTAGGCAAGTAGGTTGAGTAATTCCAAAGGCGATAATTAAAAGGGATATACATATAAATATAAGTGAAGGCTAAATATTGTTATTCTCTATTTTCCATGGAGAGAAACTAAAACCTTGTTATAAACATAAATGGTATATGGGTATAAGGGTATTGGGTTTTCTGGGTTTTGGGTTTCTGGCTTCTAAACTCTGAATTCCTGGGATTGAAGTTCGTATTCCCCTTTTCCCCCATCGCACCGCATCATTGTGGTTTTCAGAACTGAAATTTTTCGCAATTCCCAGTGCGAGTGTTTGTTTATGTCTCTCTGCGAGTTTGGGGTTTTATTATTTTTTTTTTGTTGGTCTTGGGGGATTGGTATTACCCATCCCCTTGGAGATAAACAAAAATAGGAAACTAGGAAAGTGTTTTAAAATTTAAAAAATATTGTTTTATTTAAGTTTTTTTTTTTTATAAAGAATTCTGGTTATTATAGGGTATCTTTCTAGTCTAGTATTTGTACTTATTTTGCCTTATTCGCTTCCAACTTGTTTATATTGCGTACTTTTTCCCAATGTTTGGTCTCGTGACAAGCCAGGCGCATAACCGCAAAACAGACGCGTAGAATAGTGAGTGGAAAAAGTGGGTGGCTTTTGGAAGCTTGTTGTCCATCCCAACCACCGCATAAAATCCCAAACCCAAACCATCCCATCCCATTCACAGTACCATCCAGCTCCATTTTCAATTTGTTGAGCATACTTTTCGGGGCTGTCTCCGTTTCTATGCCAATCTGCGTTTCTCATTCAAAAAAAAAAAAAAAAACCAACCACCCAACCACCCATCTAACCAGGCAGCCCCATCCTCATCCCAGACCAGGACCAGCACCAGGACCAGGACCAGCTTCAATCTCCATTTTTATGCCCCTTTACTGGTTTTTCGGCTGCTTCCGTATTTTGCTTTTGTGGTCATGCCCACTTGATGCGTATTTAATTAACGTTAATTGAAATTGATTTATGTATGCAGCATGCGTACTTGCCACTGCCAGAGTCCTCCTTTTTTTTTTTTTTTTTTGAAAAATATGCTGCGTGAAATTTGTGGCAAGTCGTTGTTGAGGGTTGTGTGCATCAATTGACAAATTTTCGGCATATCCCAGGCATGAAAAATTTGGCATTTTTGGGGTTCATTAAATTGATTAAACAAAATGGCAAGCATGGACATATTTAGTGGCTTTATGGAAGGACTAATGAAAGCAGGCTGGCAAGGATATTGATTGAAATTAGATGGAAATTTCAGAATTATTAGAGGATTTAATTATTATTTCTGCTAATTAAGTTAGAACTTAGATCTGCTGTATAACTAAGAATTATATACTGAAATATAATTACCAGGCTGTTTAAAAACATATCAATTATTCTATGATTTTCAAAAAAAATAATGTTTGTTTTTCCATTATAAATAGGAAATTGTAAACAATCATATGTATATATCATATCAACAGCCTTAAGAAATCAAATAGTAATGAAGTAGTACAATTTTTTACTTTTATTTTGGTAGAAATTCATTAAGAAAATAAAAAAAAATAATTTAAAAAAATAGCGCCCTCCTCCTCGATTCTCAAAGGTTGCACTTAAGCAGGGCCGGAAAATCCAAAAAATATTTACTATTTTTCTTAAAATTTTTTTTTTTTTTGATTTTTTTTGTTGTAATATTTGTTTGTTGTACTGTTTTTTGTTGCCTTTATGTGTTTTAATTAAAACATTTTCAAAAAACCCACAAATACCTACATAAAAAGCCTAAAAAAAACAAACTAATTTCATCGAAAAACACAAATCTGGTCGAAATGCAACCAGAAACAGAGAATAAAGACCAGACCCCACACCCCCATTTTTAGGGGGTAAGCCCATGAAAATGAACGAGTGGCAAATGAAAGAAAAGCTTTCGATGCGTGTTTGCGCAATTTCCACATCATTAATTTTCGTTTCTACAACTACAGCCAAAGAGAGTCCTATAGAGCCAGCCCTACCGGGTCCTTCGTCCTTCGTCCTAGGTCCTTTTGTATTCTGCTTTTATGTTGATTTAATTAGAGGAGAAATCACAGGGCTTGGTTTTTCCTTTTTTGGGAGGAGATTCTTTTATTGCATAATTTTGAGATGTGCAGTCGAAATCGAAAATGAAAAAGAAAAACAAAAGCCCACAAGGATGAAGGATACTGCAATCAGGAAGAGCAAACACCAAACAGCTAAACAAAGAACCATAACAATAAACAAAAAAAAAAAAAAAATGATAAAATAAGGAAAATTCATCTTAAACAGGCAGCAAGGGAAAAACTTCGAGTTCCTAAGATCGTAAATTAGAAATGGCATTTTATGCGTGAGCAAATAAAAATTCTTTATATATATATATTCGGTAGCTATATAAGCTTCGATGTTTGTATATGGCTATGTATTTCTGCATAAAAAGTTTCATTTTCTTTAGGGTCTGTCATAAAATTACTCATACGACTTGTTAACCGTTTTCTCACAAAAGATACACATTGATTTTCTTTTTCTCGTTTTTCTTTCTCGTTTCAGGTGAGTTTTCGGTATCGTTTTCCCCTTACATGTGTGTTGGTGAGTGCGTTTGTTTGAGATACTCGGGTACGGGTAGGTACAAGAGTCCTTGGTAATGCGAGACGAATGGTATTGGGTTTCTATTGATGATGAAATGGAGCAGGCGATGGCGAATCCGAGAAAAGCGAAAGCCGAGCCCCGGCATTAAATGTTCGCCATTGATTCAATGGCAATGTAAACAAATGAGATTTTTCGCTGCAAAAACTTCAACTCACTCAACTGAAAGCGCTGCACTGAAAGAAATTAATGGGTAATGGGGTAAGATTTTGGGTTTTGGGGGTAAAGGACTAAAGAAAAGTAGAACGATGAGATGGTAAGGAACAAAAACTATGGGCTTGAAATTTAAATAGTTAAATTTTAAAATATAACTGAAATTCTTGTAATGAACAAGTGTTCAATTAGTGAAATCTTAACATTATGTAGATGTTTTCGTCACTTATAAATTTTAAAACATAAATTCTTACCATTAAATAGAGGTTTTCATGACAAGTATATTTTTTAAATAGTTATTTTAATCAAAACTTGAGATTTTGAATAAATTGTGAATTTTGAATAAATTTGAATTGTGAATAAATCTCAACATTAAATAACGACGTTCGTCACTAAAAAATATGACAATATTGCTCTTGAAAAGGGTTTCGATTATCTAGATTCTTTATAGTTTTAAAAACATAAAAAAAATCTAAAAAACCCTTTAAAAACTAAGCTATAGAGATTTTTTTGCAGTGCCTATTTCTGGCTTTGTTCCGGTTTTTTTTTGCCTCCTCCTCCCCCTCCCTCTCTCGAATAACACAGAGTAACAACAAAGGAATTTTCCTAATTATGCGTTCACCTGCACGTACACAGAAAAGCTTCGAGGGGAGGAGAAGAATTCAAGAGGGGATGAATTTAAGGGGGTGGGGGGAGGAGTGTTACCAACAGTACAAGAGATTTTCTCAACACAGAAAGCCAAATACCAAATGGACCATGAAAACAAAAATCGCACAACAATTTTTTGGAAAATTGTAAAAACAAAAGAAATCCCATAAAAGGCAGGGGCATACAGTGTGAGAGGGGTGTGGCATTAAACTTTCCCAGTCTGGGGTTAGTAAGGGGGGCAGAGGTGGGGTTAGTAGAAATAAAGCCAGTGAATATTCACCAAGTTGAACTTTCTGTGATTAACAATTACACAAAAACCAGATGAAAATCCCCCACTACCAGAAAGGCAAAAGCAACCGAGGTGGAAGTTTCGCATTCCAAAACCCTCCAAAAACCCCTTTCTCCTTTTTTTCTGTGGGGGGGGTCTGTGTGGGCGTGGCTGAGACCGGTACGTGAGCTTTGCCATAAGCAATTTAGCTAATTTAGC